GTCTACCCGGGGGTATATATCCGAAGGGTTATTACGGGGAATAACTTAGAGAGAAGTCAGAGCAAGTAAGTAAAAGTAGAGAGAGAGTGTATTCAGTATGAATGTTGTTTTCAGCGTGGTTACAAATGGGGAAATGGGGTGCTATTTATAGTAGCAATAAATGCCGGACAGGGACACGTGTCAAGCGCTCATTGGCTGAGGGGTCATCTCAACTGGTTGGCGCTGGCAGCCGCATGTGGCCGCATTTAATGCGGCTGTTGGATGGGACGTCTGTGCAGGGTACGGCGATCTGTACGCATGTGAGGCGGATATCCTGTCGAGTGAGATGCCTTCGGCTATGGAGCAGCAGCCGAGGGCTCCTCCAACCGATTGCACCCTGGTGCCGAGGGCTCAAAGTGCCGAGGGCTACTGTTTTCGCCGTTTTCTCCCAGTTTCTTAATTTGCTTGAGAAACCCGCTCTGTGAGAGTGTAGAGCCTTCGGCCAGGGGGGCGAAGGCACCCCTGGCGCGTAGTGCGGGCTGCTTGGTACTCTGGGCGCTGTGATTTGGGCCTGTTGGGCCTCCTGGGCCTTCGCTGGAGTAGTAGGAGTCTGTGGGCCGGGGGTTCCCGGGCCATATACTCTATCAGAGAATTAATTATTGTAATTAATAACTCCATTGAAAATAAGACTCTTGTAATGTCATTATCATAACTCCTATCTTTAATGACTCCTTTGTGTCCATGACCCTACTGATGCCACTAATCATATTCATCCGTTTTGGAACGTTTGCCATGTAAGTCTTAGGAAGAGACCAACATTCAAGGGATTTCCACTGAGTTTGACTCTTGTTGTCCGGGTTGGCTCAGGGGTGGCCAACATCGTACTGGATTTGGATCTCCTGTTCAGACTTTTATAACTTCCTCATCAACTCTTTATCTGGACTGGACCAGAATTATGTATTCATTTCTGTATATAGGCTACGTGTCAGGCCCATAGTACCATCAATTACTTTACTCTTTTTAATAAAGAGTATATTCTTTTCCTAGTTTGTCATTTACCTTGCACTCATATACCACCCTATTATTCTCTTCTTAAAAACCAGAAAAAGTGTAAAGAAAGACTATTAATTAATTAACTAAGAATAGAGGAATCTATATTTATATATTATACAATTGAGAATCATATTGAAAGTACATATTGACACGTGTCACTCTATTATTATAACTAAACATTAATTAATGACTCTATTCATTTTCCATTACTCTTAAATGCTCATTCTGTTTTTATTCGGTAGGCAAACCACCAAAATCAATGGGATAAATGTCGATAAACATTATCATTTGTCACTCTATATTTACTATTGCCGTGTGTCACTCTGTTATTTATTGTTAGTCACACTACAATATTTTTCATATTCAAAGTATAATAATTTTATTACCTTTATTACTATTTCTGTTAAATTATTAAGAACTTGTTTGTTGAACTTTTTTGCGGCTTACCTGGCTTATCAGCCAGTTTTTTTACCAAACAAATAATTTTTGATTTCGCGCGCTAAATTGTTTAATAATAAGAAAAAGTAAAGCCGGAGTTACTTTTTTGGATGTATTGATTGAAGTTACTATAAAGGATCACTTTAGCTATTTTTCATCATTTTTTTTATTTTATTTATTAATTACAAATATTTTAAACATAATTTTTTTCATAAATAATCAGAATTAGCCAATACAACCACTTCAACCACAACTTCATAAATTTCAGCATAATCAACCAATTCAGTCAATTTCAGTGTTATCAAACGTGCTCTAGGTCTGTTTACTATATAGGTTTCATTTCATATCTAACTTATTATACTACCTAATAAATGTTAGTCTTGGAAAGTTAAGGGTCTGTTTACTAACATAAATATTTTTCTGATTTTTAGAAAACTGGAAAACTGAAAAAAGGAAAACAGAAAACGTGTTTACCAAAGAAAATTATTGAAAAACCGGAGAAAAGAAAACAGAAAACCGTGTTTACCAAATCGTTTTCAAAAACGAAAAAATGAGATATGTCTCTCTTTTTCTTAATGAATTGGAGAAGTGACTTTTAGTAGTTTTCCAAATTTGGAAAACACTGATGTTGCAGTACCATTGCAATGAATTTGCGTACTTACACCTAGTGGTGCATCCGGTCCAGCTTCGGTGTCAGTATCAGTCCGGTCAACGACCCGACGGTCTGATTTGGTCTCTGACCAGGGGGTCCATGTCTGGTCCGGTCAACGGCCGAGCAATCCCAGTCCAGTCCGGTCGACAACTCGACAATCTCTGTCTAGTCCGGTCCACGACCCGACGATCCTTGTCTAGACCGGTCCATAACCCAACTGTTCGGTCTGATCCACGACCCGACGTCCCTGTCCGGTTTGGTCCACGACCCGACGATCCCTGTTTGATCCGATCGATGACCAGTAGTCCATGACCAAACTGTCTGGTCCGATCCACGATCTAGCAATCCCTGTTTGGTCTGATCGATGACCAGTAGTCCCGGTCTGATCCAGTATGGTCAACGACTCGGCGGTCCATATCATGTCCGATTGATGACCCAACCATCACTGTCTGGTCCAATCCACGACTAAGCGGTCCCGAGCCAGTTCGTCAATGACCCGACGATCCTTGTCTGGACTGGTCAATAACCCGGTGGTTCAGTCTCGGTTATTTGAAATCACTTTTTAAAGTGAAGAGTTTTAAAAGAGATGTTAAGTTGTCAACCAATAGGGAAATGAGAATAGAATTCGTCAAAGTAACCGTTGAGATCGACTAGGCCTGGCTGGTTTCGGTCCCGGCTTTCCTATACGTGGGACCTGGTACCCTACTTGGGTTGTACTAGGTTTGATTTTAGAATGGGACACTACTTTGATACTTTCAGTCTTCTCGAACGGGGTGAAAAATGTGATGAACATGTTTTCAGATTTGAAAATGGAAAACTAAAAAATGAAAAAAGAAAATTGAAAATAGAAAAATTGGAAAATGAAAACATAAAATTGGAGAACGGAAAACAGAAATAGAAAACTCGAATATATCTCCGTTAGTAAACATACCCTAAGTAACTTATGATGTGTACTGTAAGTCTGTCACAATAACCGCCTTAATGATTTCCTCGGTATACATTTAGTTTGAAATATATAGGTTCCGTTTCATACTCCATCCCTCAGTATTTTGAAACTTGTTACACTTTTTATTGTGGGGGTCTATTTAAAATTTGCTACATTTTTTCTTTTTGATAATTTGTTCCTTTAAAAATACTCAATTACTACTCTTACGTTTTTATTTTTTATCTTTTCATTCATACCTTTACACTATCTCTCTTGCTTTTTGCTCTATTCACTATTCCTACAATTTCGCTCCTTAAATATCGTGTCAAAATCTATTGTATCAATCTTTATGTTCTGTAGTTTGTTTTCCAATTAGGCTTTGGTTGGATCCTCCTTTTTTTGTAATTTCTTTTTTCTAATAAACTTGTGAGCTGTTTCATGGCCCTCACCCCAAAAACTGCGGGTTTTTGGCCTGCCAGCGGAATAAATGACAATCTTTAAAATACAAAGGGAGTATTATATTACAAAGGGAGTAATATATGATTAATAATTTGGACTCTTCATATATATATATATATATATATATATATATATATATATATATATGGAAACATAAAGTAACTTACTATATTTGTATTATCTTAATGATCCCATATACATTTATTATTATATAGATACATTTAGTTTGCTTCAGATTTTCTTACCCAATTTATATATACGATATTACATGGTAATATATCAACAATTGACAATTGACATTTTTTATAATTTACATTCCTTTGTTTAAAAATCTGTTATTGCAGATTCGTTAGGTTATCTTTTTTTTAGACCTGTCTAAATAATTGAGTCACATTTGGCCCCAATTTTTTTTATTCTTTTCATAATTTTGTTATGTATTTGGATAGGGTATGCCCTTTCGCGAGAGGTATTGGTATAGTCCCCCCTCTCTTCTTCACACATAAAATTCTTTCCATTTACCATTATGAAATTTTCAAAATTTTTTCTTCTCATTTTCTCTTTTGGAAAGTTTTGTGTGGCTAAAATTTATTTACTTTTTTCTTACTCAATCACAACTAAACATTTTCTCTTTATTCCAACTTTGTTAAACTTCGATCGAAGCCAAACTGAGATTAATTTTATGGAATAGAGGAAGTAATAATCAACATAAGTGAGTTTTAAGTTATTATTGTGATTGAATTGTCTGAAATTATGACAGAAGATCATTGTAGCCATTTTCCATAAGATTTTATCTTTATTTACCTTTAAAACAATTTAATAAAATGTTTTTATAAATCAACAAATTAGTGAAGTCGTTGCGGTCCAACTAGAATTTTACCAGTTTCAATAAATTCAACCAATTTAATCATTTCCAATGTTATCAAATAATGGACACTAAAATATACTCCCCTTGTTCCTTAAAATTTGACAAAAGTTTTGTCAGCAGAGTGAATAATAAATAAAAACTGTGTGATTGAAGTTTGTCCAGAAGAGCTAAATTTAATAGAAATCACATAGTCTTTAATTAAATGAGAACATGACAAAATCAGTGAAACAACCATAAAAGAAAAGCTGGTAACCCTTTTTAGCTTATCAATCAATTTTTTCGTCAAATACGTAAATTTTGATTTCAAACGCTGAGTTGTGTAATAATAAAAAAATAAGATTGTAGTTACTTTAATGACTGAGTTGATTGAAGTTACTTAAAAGATCATTTTAGTTATTTTTCATATAATTTTTCTTTATTTTATTAATAAAATATATTTTAAACATAATTTTTTAATTTGTATAACTTCGTAGAATTATCCTATCCAGCCACTTTAACTAGAATTTTATAAATTTCAACATAATCGATTGATCGAGCGAATTTGACGGTAATCAAATGAGCTCTACATGATTGAGCGAATTTGACGGTAATCAAATGAGCTCTACATGATTGGACCGCAGTGTTTGACCCGGCCCATTAGAAAACCAGTTGCCCAAGATCTGGAATAACCTAATAACCATTCGTGTTACCATTTCATCCGATCCGGCATCTCTCTTTACTGCTCATTTCTCCGTTTCCAGCCCCTCTTCCCCCCTAGGTCGGACGCAGTCTACACCATGCCGATCGTCTAGTATCCCGAGGTTATTCGATTATTTCTAACCGTCTTCTTATTTGATCGCATCTTGTTTTGTTCGTTAGTACGTATATTTTTATATCTTATCAGCAGTGAATCATCAGCATTGAATTGATCAAGCTTAGAGGGTGTTGTTGAGCTTCGTTCTTTATTTTTTATTTCAGCTATATATGCGTATATATAGTATTATTGTGTTTATACATAGTTTTTGTGGAATAGTATTGGAAAATAACAAGTATTTCTGCTAGGATTTGAAGAGAATTCATATTTCTTAGCCTTGTTAAGTGTTTAACTTTTTCTCAAACGAAGTTGACATTTGTGAATGGTTTGCTTTATGTTGACAGTGAAGGAGCAGATATCATGCGCGTGTCCCATTCTCTTCTCCAACAATTTTCGTATTAGGTTTTATGATTTTATAATTACTACCCAATATTTAGTATATTCCCAAATGGAGGTTAAGCTATGGAATGACAAGCGTGAGAGAGAGATGTATGAAAACTTCGCGGAGCTGTTTGCCATTATAAAAGCAACCGAAAAGCTCGAGAAAGCATATGTACGAGATGTTATATCATCAACTGAGTATGAAAACGAATGCCAGAAATTGATTGCACATTTTAAGACTCTGTCCTCTGGATTGAAGGACACTGTCCCAAGCATCGAACGGTTTCACGACACCTACAAAATGGACTGCCCGTCTGCCATAAACCGCCTGGTGACCTCAGGGGTGCCCGCGACAGTTGAGCACCGGGCAGCTGCTGCTGTATCAGCTTCCACTTCGGCTGCTGTGGTGGCGGAGTGTGTGCAGAACTTCATCACAGCCATGGACTCTCTGAAACTCAACATGGTTGCCGTTGACCAGGTGCACCCTCTGCTGTCCGACTTGTCGGCCTCCCTTAACAAGCTCTCGATCTTGCCGCCTGATTTTGAAGGTAAGACTAAAATGAAGGAATGGCTTTATAGGCTGGCTAAAATGGGTGCCGCTGATGAGTTGACCGAGCAACAGTCTCGGCAGCTGCACTTTGACCTTGAATCTTCATACAATTCCTTCATGGCGGCATTGCCCTCTGCCGGGACTTAGATGATGAATTGAATTTGAGTGCTAATTAATGGTTTCTTTCATTAAAAGAAATTAAGTGGTGCCTTGTTGAACAAATTTTTATTTTGTTGTGCGGATTGACCCTATGTAGGTTTATTATGGTACTACTATTCTGTGTATATGCAGTTAATCACTAACTCTTCAATTACCACTTAAATGATTCACTGCTAAAGATCCCATGTGAGGTGTCCTAAAACTAAGCCTGTTCTGGCTAAGTGGGATCTATTTACCACATGAATCTTTCCCATAGGCTTTGACTTCATTAATTTGTCAATGTTACACTATGTATCTCTCTGTATAAGATTTATGTAATTTTTCTAAATATCTCTTATCAATTTCATTATACTTTGACTAGATGATTATCTTCTCTCTTCTCTAATTGACTACTCTACCTTTTAGCTTGTTATTGGGTTTTACTCTTACTGAATCTTACAAGAATGTTGGTTTTGCTAGGACTGTAATGTATGAGAAATGCTACTTATACACAGTCGGTTACACGCCAGATTACATGCCCAAGTGTAATTCTTTGTGAATAGACAATTGATTTTAATTTTATTAAAGAGAAGTGTGTGAGACCCCAAAAAATGAATATTTAGACAATTTGGGATCACGAACACTTCTCATTTACTAAAATTAAAATCTATGGTATTGCGTATAGACAATTACACTTGGGTGTGTAACTAGGGATGGACTAAACCGGCCCGGCCTGACCTGGAACCGGCCCAGCCCGTTACTGTTTGGGCCCGGACTGGACCGGGACCGGTTGGCCGGTTCCGGGCTTTTAGCCTATTTGGGCCGGCCGGGCTCGGGCCCAACTTTTGGTGAACCGGCCCGGGCGGTTCAGGCCGGGCCCGGTTCAATTTTTTTTTTCAATTTCTTTTCTTTTCTAGGTTAGGGTTGAGTGTTTTGGGGGGGTTTGGGGGGTGGGGTGAAGGGGGGGGGGGTCGGGTGTTATTTAGAAACCAAAAAAAAATTGAACTTGACCCGGGCCCGGCCTGGTTAGGCCCGGACCCGGTATCAACCCTGGCCGGTTCTGGGCCCAACATTTTGCAAAAAAAGCCCGCCCGAAACCGGCCCAAAACCGGAACCGGCCCGGGTCCATCCCTATGTGTAACTGAGCGTGTACAGGTAGCATTCTCCTTGATATAAATACCTTATACGGATTTTATGTTTGCTAATTTCTAAAATTTAAAACTAAAATGTGATTTCCTCATCCTAGGGGTGGATTCGGTTCGGGCCACCTGGCCCGTGACCCGGCCCGGCCCGGTCGGGCGGTCAGGGATCGGCCCGGTCGGGCGGTCCGGGACCGGGTGTGGACCTGAATCGGTGGGAATGGGCGGGGCGGGCACGGTTCCGGATAAATGTGACCCGGCCCGGCCGGGTCTGGCCTGAGCCCGGGTCCGGTCTGATTTAATTTTTTTTTTTAAATTGGGTTACTAGCCGTTGGGGGTGGGTGGGGACAACCCAAACGGCTATATAGCCGTTGGGTGGGGTGCAGGGGGGTTCGGGGGGTTGGGTGGGGGGGGGGGGTGTGGGGGGGTAAAAAAACCTATAAATACTCTTAATCTTAAACATTTTTCATATCTCTTCTCCAATTCTTCCTAAATCCTATTCTTAACTCTCTACTCTCTAATTCTCTTATTCTCCAATATATTATATTTATTAGTTATATATCTACTTTATAGTTTATACTTAAGAAGTTAAGATGGAAAATCAAGATGCCATTATACGGTATAATTTTGATAAGCAGAAGGATCCGAAGACCGGGATGTGGTACGCAATTTGCAAATGGTGCGAGAAAAAATGTAGCATGGGGGTTTCAGGCGGATACGGGATGTCAATCAAGCATATGAAGTCATGTGACAAAGCCAAAGGATTGGGAGGTGCGGGATGTTCCGATTGATTACAATTTTCAAAATGTTTGTCTCTTAAAGTTTGTTTTAATTTTCAAATGTAGTTCCTATTTCATTTCAAATAAATGTACTTGAAGTTTGTTTTTAATACTCGTATAAAACTATAAACTATAAAATATAAATTATATATAAAAAAAAACTTTAACTGGCCCGGTTCGAACCGGACCCTACCCGTGACCCGGGCGGGTGGCCCGGCCCGAACCGGACCCGTCCAACCCTCGGGCCGGTCCCGGACCCATGTCATACAAACCGGCGGCCCGATCGGGCCTGACCCGGCCTGAGTCCATCAATACTTCATCCGGTCTTTTTTTTAACCCGGTAGACAAACTACCAAAATCAGTGGGCAAACGCCGGGGAACATATGCCGTAATTTTATTAAAAAAGGAGCAATTACAAACAGAGAGGGGGACCAAGCCAATACCTCTCAATAGAGGCATTCCTCTGAAATTACACAAAAGATAATTGCAACAGATAAATAATTGAATGATCAATAACAAAATTAAACATATCTAAGAAACGGAATGCCAAAATAGTCTAAAAAATTGCCTTTCTGCTCAAATCTTATAAATAATTAACAGAGTTGATAACACTGAATTGGGCTGGCTCGGAAGCTGCAATGCAATGAGCAGCCCAATTCCTTTCTCGCCATATATGTCTAAAGCTCACCTGTGTCTGAGAAGTCGAAAGAGCCATCTCCTGAACCAATGAAGACCATCTACCTTCTCTCTTCGCTGAAATCAGCTCGACCGCTCTCGATGCATCCTCATCCGGTCTTTATATTTTTGCAAAAAGAAAAGAGGTAAACAAGATGGTAAACTATTAATAGTTCTGCTATCAGGTCCTCGAATTGATCTAAACATTCTACTAGCTGGACGTTAAGCTTTTATTTTTATCCGATGACCAGGTGTGAATAAATTTACCATCGCTGTAGTAAGTTACGGGTGGGGGTCGTGAACAAGGAACCTATTTTTAGTCTCAAAATATGGAAATGTTTTATTCTAAAAACGACTCCCATTAAAATTAGAGCTTAAGAGGGCATTTGATAGGGTATATATTTTAATATGTTTTGCAGTATAGCTTGTAAAATATATTTGTGAGAGGAATGATATAATACTTTACATATTAAATATAAAGCATTGCAATTACTTTACCAGTAGTTTAACAAATAATTATACACTTAATCAAATAATTTATTTTTAGTTTATGTATAAAGTGACTGTTTTCTAAATTTCGAAGAATCTATTTAATTCAAAGCCTAAGAGCATCACGCCAAAATTGCCCGGTCCATTGGTATTTACTGTATTAGTAAGATCCATTTTTGGTAGGGACTCCCGAGATTAGTATTAATGATAAAGTGGTGGACTTCACGTCTATCTTCCTGAGTTCCTGATCACTTGATTGAGAAGAGAAAAAATCTATTGGCAGACACTATTGACATACACTCTTACACATTGGGGACTGTTTTTATATCTGTCCCAGACAAAACGTATTTTACAAATACGTTTTGTTTGGGACAGACATAAAAAACGTCTCACAGACATGAGTGTGTAAGAGTGTGTACACAAAGTGTGTACCCCAAGTCTGATTCTTGAGAAGATCCAAGACGTTCCTATTTTAAAAAAGCAACTAGTATGTTACCCGTGCGATGCACGGGACAAAGAAATACTCAATTTCATCCGTATTCTTCAACAATTTAAAATACTAATGTATGATGTAATTCTTCAAACAAAATCGTAATAATGTATAATACGGAGTATGATAAAAAGAGAAATAATTTCTAACCGGCGAGCAATGTATTGTCAATATGCATAATAAAAATACTATCTAAAGTAATATAGTGACCTTCATTAATATTGGAAGACATTCATTACTCTTTTAAATTACATTTTGACACTGTATGAGAAACACACATGTCTTGTGGAAAACTGAAGTTACATTTGATCAGAGACATTCAGGTATCTTACTCTAGCTGGCGCATCAGATAGTAAATGCATATACTATATTTCTAGTAAATATTTAAACAAAGTTGACTCAATTTTTTTGAGAAAGAAGGTATGAAGTACTTTTTAATTCTCTGAAGCAGTAGCACTTGTAAATAAATTCTTTAGGTTTACAATGATTATCTAAAGTGATAATGTTTTTGTTTTGAATTGACGTAAACACATAAACAATAGCATAACACATTATATATAGTGAGTGTTATTATTAACAAAAAGATACTGATATGAGTAAGAAAAAAGTATCATCATAAAAAAGTAAGGGAAAAGTACCATATTTAGTGCCCTTGATTCTAGATTGTCAACATGCTAAATAAAGGTTTAAATGTTATTCCATCTTCAAAAATAAATTGAAAATCCAAATTAAAAAGAGTAATAATATTGTATTCAAACTAATAAATAGCATTCATACATTATTTTGAGAGTACACACCAAGGAATGTATCACACTACATTAATAATTAAAAGTTCACTTACAATTTTGTTTTTTGCAAAGCAATAAGTAGTCTATGTATTTGGTTAAAAATATTAGTCTGCAATATAATTCGTGTTTAAAATTTTACATTTACATCGTTCTATATGTTAAAATTTAAGGTTTGAACTTTGGCCAATTTTTAACAAAAGGTAACACTAATTTAATGAATCGAAATTAGAACTGCGACCCAAGTAGAAATTGAACACCACCTAAAAGTTAAAATCGGCCAGCGTCTTGAATGTGTTAAATCATCTACATACTTTTATCAACTGTGACAACTTCTGCTCTGCTATTGCTATAAGCCTCATCTCTCGCCTGCTTTTTTCACCGGCGATAGGCTCACCACATCTTACTCTCACCGAAGCTAAAATCTCCGTTTCTCGCAGATATCTCTGTATGTCACACTCTTTTCTCCATAGATTTGTAATGTGTAGTTTAAAATTGCATCTGCAAGTTGATGTTTTACTCAAACCGCCATAACATACAAATCTTTAACATACTATCACACACAACTAAATATCGTCAGCTCCCTCAAACCTTGATAATCTCTAGCTTTGCTCATAGCTTGGCCACTGTTAGGAAATGAGCTTCAAAACTATTATTTCAATTGTTCAAATTGAGAGTTTTAAGTGGTCTCTCGAGTGTAAAGTTTTACTGCTCGTAGACAGACCATAGCTCACACTTTAAATTGATAAGTAATTGCTCATATCATTGACTGTTTTTTTTTGTATTTAAAGGTTTCACTTTGCAGTTTCTTTATATCCTTCAATTGTTTTCAGGTTGATAATAGGAACCCTCTGCTGCTAATCCTGCTATGTTTTAATACAGAAACCCGGATAGCCGGTTTGGTGATTCCAAATCAATTAGTATGCGTTATGTTTTTTTTTCATATTTCAGCAGCTTGTGAATATCATGACAGCTTTTCCCACAAGATAAGTATTTTTAAATAAAGTAACATCTCACATTGTGATAGATTTTTTGATTTAGATTGCAATTGCACTACTTATGGATATGCCT